ATGTGACTTCAGCTCCTAGACTCTACCACCCTATGGGTAGGCGTGAGTCTGGCTTACCTTAGCATCCCCACTACCAACCCAGGGCCTTCCACAGAGCAGATGCTGAGTGAATGGTCAAGAAATGAGCCAGTGAACAGGAAGAATTCTTTATTCAGTTTTCATTTCTCTTGCATTCGCAAAGAAGCAAGTAAATCCAGGTATGCATATTTTCTTTTTAATTTTACAGAATAGACTGAGGTATAAGGCAAAAATTATCTATCTTTTAATTTCTTTAGTTCTTTATCTCATGTATTTTACTGTTAATTCGTTCACAATTCTAAGTAAATACTTATTCCACTGCTGTTATTATGTCACAATTCACAAAACTGAATGGATTTCCCAATCTGAATAAAGAACAAGACTCTTACTCCTAAACTATACAAACAGCACTATGTGTGACTACTGTCATCCAAAAACTTGGATGCTGAAGTTCATTCAACCATCCACTAAATGGAACATTTGAACAATTCCAATAGGAAACAAAAATAAATCTCCAAGAACAGAAACCCACTACTAAGAACGCTGACTGCACTCTTCAAAGAGTGAAGAATCGGCCTCATGCCACACAAGGCAGGGGAAGCTACTGGACGGGGCACTGGAAGGTGCAGTGGCCCAGCCCCCGTCCCACTGGCCCTGGCTGCAACTCGTGCTCAGACTCACTCTTCCCCCTGTCTCAAAGCCAATTCATGCAGGGATAAGTAGGAAATGTGACGTCCTCCACTGGTACTTAGCATATGCTGCAGGACTTTCATGTAGCTGGTTTCAAGGAGGGCCCTTGGGCCCCACAGGAACTCATAGCATGCAGAATCACTGTCACGCAACTGCCGGTACTCTGGGTAGTTTTCCTGCACCAAATCTTGGGTGAGCAGCTTCCTGGGCTCCGCAAAGACACTGTGCTCTCTCCCATCAAACACCTCCATCGCACTCAGCTCCTTCCAGATTTTCTCCTCAGGAGCGCAATTGCCCTCTGTTGCAATCATGTCCAGGACAAGTATCAGGAGGCCTGTCTTGGGCATGATCTGATCATCGCCCAGCAGGCCATCATAGGAGAGGCCCAGGCAGGTGACAAGGATGTACAAGTTGCAAGTGGGGTTGATTTCCATCACATCGATGCCAAAGATCAGCTGCAAGGAATCAGACGCTTTGCGGAAGATCACAGGGAAGAAGTACATGCAATCTGGAATGACACACTCTAGCATTTCTGCCTTTGTGACCAGCTCGCCGGCTTGACACTTGAGGAGCAGAAAATGAACCAGCTCAGCCACCTTCCTACTGAGTGCGGCTAGGAACATGGACTCCAGGTCAGGAGAGGTGCTTGGCCCCTCCTCTACTTGGTTGCTGAAGCCCCCATCAGATTGGCTGCAGAGAGTGTAGTTGACAGTAGTGGGGAAGGTGGAGGCTCCCTGAGGACCCTAGGGAGGACTCGGTGACCTGGCAGCAGGCACCTCCCCCAGGGTGACTTCCACTAGAGTAGCAGCAGCCTGCGCACCCACCAGGCCCAGGGCTTCTTCTTGGGCCTCAAGGCCTTCCTCAGGCTTGCAGTGCTGACTCCTCTGCTCAAGAGACATGACAACTCTGGTCAGGGCAGCTGGCAGGAGTGTGGGCAGGAGCTGGGCAATGGAGACTCACAGGCCTGGGGAGAGAGGAACCGTGTGAGAAGCCTCAGCTGAGAACTGAACTGAACCTTGGAGGCTCTAACAGAGGCTTACTTACAGATCTTCTTCAGTGCTCTTCTGGAGCCTCTGGTCCTCCTGGTCAGCTTGTCCCCTCAGAACCTGAAGGAGGAAGTGAGAGGGCATGTCAGGGTACAGCCGGCCAGCACATGCTGAGGCTGCAGGACTGACAGTAGGGAGGGTGAGGCCAGGTGCTCTGGAGTCCCATGTGTTCTGGAGTGGGTGGGGCCCTTGGTGTGCATTCAAGGCGAAGCTTCACTATTAGCACTGTCTGTGCCTCCTCTGCTGTGTGACCTGAGGACACTGCCTCAGACCAAGGCCTTACTCTGCCTGGCTCCTAGAGCTCCTGGGAGAGGAATCCACAGGCCCCCAGGGTGCAGACTGTAAGCACAGCCACAGATTCCCAGTACTGTCAGGAGGGTTGGCCAGACTCTGTGTGGGCCCCACTCTATTGCCCCTCTGTGCTCACTCAGGACCATCACCTTTCTCCTGGTAGGGTGTAATTCTGCCCTTTTGCTGCTCTGAGAAACTCTCATATCAAGAACTCACATCCCTGATACAGTACAGAAGGACATGAGGGGACCACATCTGTCCATACATGCCCAGGTCCTCCCGGGTAGGACACCAAGGGATGTCCAAATTCACTGGAGTTCAGGTGTCCTGGTTGAGGATCCTGCTTGGTCCTCAAGTCCACTCCTGACAGGGCCTGAGACCCTCCCTCTGCTGACCTCAGTGCTGTTCCTCAGACCAAGACCTCCCCTTCCCTGACATCAGTGATCCCAGGATAATGGAGGGACCTCAGCTGACAGCCCTGCCCAGGCTCTCTGAGGTAACAGCAGGGGCAGGGCAGGTTTCTGTGGGGCCCCTGTCTGTGTTCTGGCCCAGGGGTACCCTCAATCCTCCCTCAGGCTCCCCACCTGTATGCTTGGCAGATCCTAGGACTGCTGCTTCTGTCAATCAGATGAAGGCCTGAGGGTTGACCTGAGTCACTGTCCGAAAACAAGGTCCTCACCTCCCTAAGATCTGGAAATAGAAGTGAGGAGGGGCCACATCCTGTCACCCCCACGTGGGGTGTCCAGGACTGACCCTGTTGGTTCTGGGGTGAGGGTTCTGATGGCCTCCTGTGGGTTACTCATCTTTACTCCTGCCGGGACCTGTCCTTCCTCAACCCCCAAGCCCCTGAAATGAGCGGACATCTCCACTTTACATCAACACTTTATCTCCATGAGGGTTCCCCAACTTCCTGCCTGTGGTACAAATAAGGTTGACACTTTGGGCCATCCCTAATCAGGTTCCTCCAGAGATAAGAATACGGCATACCCAGACTCTTTGGCGTATCCCAGTCCTCACGAAAGGGTCACAACTTGGGTCCTGCAGATCCCAGGGCTACTCCCTCGGCTGACCTGAAGTTCCACTCCTCAGACCACAGCCCTCAACTCTCTGTCACCCTGAAGGCGCAATGAGCATGCCGCACATTCAGCCACTGTGCCCAGAATCCTCCAGGCCAAGGTCCCCACTGATCTGGACTCCAAGGTCCCCTCAGTCCTCCCTTTTGTTCCTCCCCTTGACTCCTCACAGTGCTGGGCCCCAACCTCCTGCTGAACTGGATCTGCATCCCTTAGATTCCCCGGGATGAATGAGAAGATGCCTCAGTTTGGGACAGGGGTAGAGTGGGCCCCCTGTCTGGCACGCTGGGTCCCCTCAGGCCTTCGTTGTCTCCGAGGAGGCCTGGGCACTTCGTCTGCTTCCCAAAGGCCGGGATCATGATACTGAACCCCTTCCCTCCCTTAGCCGTAGATGTGTACATCGGGATCCGCGTGTCTGGCAGCCATTGCCGGAGCTTCTGTGGGTTGATAGCAGGGGCAAACCCCAGATTCTGCCAGGATGGTGGTGGTGGTGGGGATGTGAATGGGGTTGGTGTTGGGGGATGGGGTGGGGGTTAGGTGTGGATTGCCCTCTCAGGGCCCTGAACTTGATTCCTGGCAGAGCCTGGGCCCTGCCCTTTTCTAACCAGCTCTGCCCTGGTCACTGGAGCTCTGACCCTAGAGTTCCCCGTAACTTAAGCGGCTGGGGTTAGCCGGGTGGGGTGTAGGCCACCGAACCTGAGAAGTCTGCCCTGGCCGGGGGCAGAGGCAGCGCTATATTATTTGGGAACCTCTGTCTGGCGTGAGGCCCGCCTCAGTCCTCCCTCAGCGTCTCACCTTGCCTCCTCACGGACCTTGGGCCTGTTTCCCTCTGCTGGTATCAGGCAGTTACTCAGAGCAAGAACCTCCCTTCAGTCTGACCCCCAGTGCGCAAGTCATTGTCATTACATCTGGGCCCCGGGGCTTCCCTGGACCCTTGGCAGGGGCAGAACCGGAATTTGCCTGGACGGAAATGGACATGGGAGTGAGCATGAAGATGGTGGTAGGGGTGGGGTAGGGATTGGGGTGGGAATCCTGAGGCTGTAGATAGTGGTGGGGTCGGGGAAGTTGGGGGTCAGAGGGGCCTTCGGTCATCCCTGGGGGTCCTGATGTTGATGTCTGGCTGAGCTGGCCCGCCACCCTCTGCCAATTGTGTCTGCTCCCCTCAGACCAAGTCTCTGAGTCCCCCTGAAGTGGCAATGGGGGGAGGGGTGTGGTCAGGGTGACATCACTGCCACTGTTTACCAGGGCTCACAAGGGAGTCTGAGCTGGATCCTGTGGTCCCTCTATGTGGGGAGGGTGGAGCCTCAATCCTCACCTAGGAAGGTCCTCTTCCTCACTTCTGGCACTTTGATGAAGTGATGGGTGGGAGATGCTCTTTGATCACCTCTGAGCATTTGCGTAGCTGCACCCCTTGCAAAGAATGGCTGCGGGTCCCAGGTCAGATGCTCCCTGCAGAGCGGCAGCTCCCTCGGTTGTAGTGACTTCTGGGAGAAGATGCGCACCTTCCCATGGGGGCTTCTCCCCAGCCAGAGCTACACTTGGCAAACCTTTGGTCCTAAATGATTTATTCTCTCAATCAACAAAATATAGTTCAGGTATCTTCCAAATATATACATACGTAGCAATTTATATATTTATTTCTATGACGGAATAGCTACCCTTAGCATGCATGATTCACTCTGATATCCTACTCTACTTCTATTCTATTCTTTATGTTCTGTTGAAAGAATTTTCTTAAAATGTAATTCCTCTCCCACTATGTTGGTTTCAGGTTGTTATTAACTGAACTCTGGAGGCATACTGCCTTAACCAACCCAATTTTCCTGGTATCCTGCTATTATTACACTAGGGCTCTTGGCATCGTGGTTTCAGGGGCTGCCTCAGTTTGTGCAATGAAGTGAAGTGGAAATTGCAAAACCTTTCTTGTACCCATTCTGTCATCTGCCGTCTAGGTAGGCTACAAACCTCTCCAACATCCCTACGGCCAACTCCTGTCCAACCGACACTGCAAGTGTCAAACACAAGTACCAGCTCCACACAGTCTTCAGTCTCACCCAGGGGTTTTCTCTCTTTTGTTGCATAGATTTTGTTGCTAATACTGGTTTTTGTCTTTCTTTTTCCATTCTATAAATTTCCAGTGTTGATTTGAGAAGCAGAGCACAGCAACCCAAAGTTGATTCTAATGTCGGCAGCTACAGGTAAGGCACTAAACTGTAAATAATTTAAGCGGAGTTTACATTTTTACAATGTTGTGTTCCCTATGAATGAATATGTTATGCTGTATTTATTTCAAACTCTTTTTACCTGAATATGTCAGTATACTTTAATAGTTGCCTCTGTAAAAACCTTATACATTTTTGGTAGACTTCTTTTCAGGTAATTCTTGGATTTTGTTGCTATTGCAAATGGCATATTGTCTATTAATTGTTCTAGTTAGTTATTGCTTTCGTGAGGCAAAGATTTTCATTTTGGTCTAGTAATCTGCTTTACACCTCGTGCTGAAGGCCCATGCACTTGAATGTTCCACATACCTTTTCCTTTGAATTTTCAAGATCAATAATGGTATTATCACTAAACGTTATATGTTTTTCCAATATTCATACCACTTACTTATTTTGATACTTCTAGATCTTTGTGTCTCAATCCTGATTTGAAACGTAGAGGTAATAGCCAACATCTGCTTCTCATTCCTGACTTTAATAATTTTTCGAACGTTTCACATTTAACTATGCTTGCTGTTGAGTTTAGAAATGGAAGTTATTTTTCAATAAAGGTTAACTAAATATGTTTTACCATGAACTCATATTAAATTTCTTTAAAAAGCTTTTTCTGTACCCATTGACAGGATCAAAATTTTTTTCTCCACTATTTTGTGTGTAAGGAATTACAATGAAACAGTATTTTATCTAATGTTAAATCATATTTTATTTCCTTGGGCAGAGCCTGTTTATTCATTTAATATGCTACTAATTCATGTAGGATACTTACTGTTATGTAAGGGAGCTTACTTGATGTGTTTTTTTCCATCAGGGTGGGATGTGGTCCTCATCTGGTTTTTGAATCCAGGAGGGATAGTCTGGGAGAATGAATTGAACAATTGTCAATATTTTGTATGTTCTGGAAGAGTTGAGATAAGATGGTGGTTAGTTTTCCCTGATCATTTGGTAGAATTGGCCTCCAAAACTGCCTTACCTGGAATGTTTGAGGGTGGTTTGTGCTTTGAGTAGTGTACAGCTTCAGTTTGTTTAGCTTAGTTAAACTTTTCTTTTTCTTTTTGGATCAGTTTGGTTACTTATTTATTTTATTTCTACAAAGTGATTGCTTTCATTTAGGATTTCACTTTTAGTGGCATATTTATGATTAAAAAAGTTTTATTAGGGAAAGCCTTCACACAGACAGAATAATAGAGAGACTAATATAATGAACCCAGTGTACCTGATATCCAGCTTCAACAACTTTAAATACACTGCAAATCTGGTTCCAGCTAGACACTCACCCACCTGC